TACTTTTTCCAACAACAAGTAATTAACCTCTGGAATTGAGTGCTGCAAGACCTGGTAGTGACCACTCTCTTTAAAAAAAGAATCAGATCAATGGATGAAGGATGGGTCTATCAATGGCTGTTAGCCATAACGGCTAAATAGAATCTCCACGTGCAGAGAGGCAGCAGTAGATCTCCGAGTACCCAAATTGCAGGGGGCAACTTCTTTGGGATCTACTTTGACTCTGCCTCCACAGGATGGCCAATAAACATTCCTGGAGAGGAAGTTAAACAAAAGGGCTTCCTTTTCAAGCTGATACTTCCTCAAGCAACAAGGTGTCCCTGCGATGAGGCATCTTCCTGTGTTCTTGTTATTATTATTTTTAAATTTCATCTTCAGATTTACTCCTGATTTGGCCTCCTGGTATGTCATATGGCCCAGATCTGACACCCTGCTTGAGGGTTCCCTTGGTTTCATCTGCCTGGTTGTTGCTGTTGCTCTTTGGTCTGGCCATTGGTCTTTGGTCTGATCTTTGTTTGCTTGTTGTTGTTTGTGACCATACTCCAGCTGCCTACCACTTTCATTGATAAAAGATGGCTAAACCCTAGGTGAGAGTGACAGTAAGCACTAAGGAAAAAATCACAACATTTCAGACTGTAACGGTGGTGCAATGGGATTGAGAAGCTCTCCGACTAATATGCACCTATGGCTAATTAATGGCTTCATCGCTCTAGCAGTTATTAAACACAGACGTTTAATGTATTACTTCCAAAGCCATCATTAAGTGGCAATTCAAATTCCTAGTTCTCTCGTGCACAAGTGATTAGGATTTGGCAACTAAGTAATGAAGAGATCTCTTTCAGAATGATTGATTTGTGCATAGATTGAATAATGACTATTTTTGTGTTTAATAGATTAACACCTTGATTAGCGATTAGAATTTTATGGTGCCAGTTCAGACAACGCACTTCCAGAACCATCTTGTGGCTGCGTAATGAAATGTTTACTCACATGCTTTACTCCCACCCTGCTTTCTAATAAGAAAAACCTTATTTGCTTTATTACTCCATATGCACGGCTATCGTTAGCACGTTTACTTGGAAATAAGTCCCTCTGCATTTCTAGTAAGTATGCTTAGTATCGCAGTCTGGTCTATGGTCTTTATGCCAGCTATGTCTTATAGTGCAAAACAATGGGTTTTCTTATCACGGAGGGCGAAAAATAGATCTGCTAATACATTGAATTATAACACTTTTTTGTTTTAAAAACACAATATAGATAAAACCCTCCCCTGCCCCACACAGCAGCAAAATATTGCAGCACACCCCTTAACCAGAAATAGAATAAAAAATTGAGATGGCAGATTAATAAATCCTCTGGTGCTAACATGTTTTGTGGCCATTCAAAGCACAGATAAAGGCTGTCTATACACCATACCTTTAAAACACATTGTTGTTGTTGTTTAGTCGTTTAGTCGTGTCCAACTCTTCGTGACCCCATGGACCAGAGCACGCCAGGCACTCCTGTCTTCCACTGCCTCCTGCAGTTTGGTCAAACTCATGCTGGTAGCTTCGAGAACACTGTCCAACCATCTCGTCCTCTGTCGTCCCCTTCTCCTTATGCCCTCCATCTTTCCCAGCATCAGGGTCTTTTCCAGGGAGTCTTCTCTTCTCATGAGGTGGCCAAAGTATTGGAGCCTCAGCTTCAGGATCTGTCCTTCCAGTGAGCACTCAGGGCTGATTTCCTTCAGAATGGATAGGTTTGATCTTCTTGCAGTCCATGGGACTCTCAAGAGTCTCCTCCAGCACCATAATTCAAAAGCATCAATTCTTCAGCGATCAGCCTTCTTTATGGTCCAGCTCTCACTTCCATACATCACTACTGGGAAAACCATAGCTTGAACTATACGGACCTTTGTTGGCAAAGTGATGCCTCTACTTTTTAAGATGCTGTCTAAAGCACATTATTCCCCCCCCAAAGAATCATGGGAATTGTAGTTTACTGCCAAACAGAGAGGTCTCAGTGGACTTCCCTGGGACTGGAGTTCTGTTTACATTTTAATGAGAAACTACCTAATTGCACTTCTTGAACTGATATGCAAACTTAAACACTATTCTTCCACATTGATACTTCTCCAGATTTTGCAATGCAGTTCTCCAACCCCGTGATTTATATAGGAATGCTCATAGTAGGGGGAAATGTCCCAAAATGCATATGTTAGTGAAAATAATGTACAAAAATTGCATTATGCTGGGAGGGGGGAATGCTTGTGAAAATGTGCACATTTGTCAAAACTGCAAAGAAATTTGCATTGAATTGCTGCTGAATTTCAATGCAAAATCTGCAGGTTTTAATTCTGCAAAATCTGCAGAATTGTGGAAGAAGGCTCAGAGCCCAGGGATTGCTGGTCAGATGGCGGTGAGTGGTCAGAGGGAGAAGACTGGGAGGAGGGGTCAGAAGGGGAAGAGAATTCCCTCCAGCATTTCTCCGATGAAAATAGGGACGTCCGATTCCATAATGATAATTTTACTATTTACACCCCACACATCTTACCAGGTTGCCCCAGCCACTCTGGGCAGCTTTCAACATACAGTGGTGCCCCACAAGACGAGTGCCTCGCAAGACGGAAAACCCGCTAGACGAAAGGGTTTTCCGTTTTCAATGCGCTTCGCAGGACGAATTTCCCTATGGGCTTGCTTCGCAAGACGAAAATATCTTGCGAGTCTTGAGATTTTTTTTCCGCTTCCCCCCCCCTTTTCTAAGCCGCTAAGCCTTTAATAGCCTTTTAGCAGCTAATCCGCTAATCCGCTAAACCTTTAATAGCCGCTAAACCGCTAATAGCGCTAATCCGCTAATAGGGTTGCTTCGCAAGACGAAAAAACCGCTAGACGAAGAGACTCGCGGAACGGATTAATTTCGTCTTACGAGGCACCACTGTATATAAAAACATAATAAAACATTAAGCATTAAAAAATACTTTCCTATACAGTATTGCCTTCAGACAGCTCGGGGGTCAGAAAACTCCATACCCTCCAATGTTTCTCCAATGAAAATAGGGACATCCTAAGGAAAAGTGGGACATTCTGGGATCAAAGCAGAAACCGGGATGGCTTCTTTAAATCAGGGGTGTTCCTGGAAAATAGGGACACTTGGAGGGTCTGGAGGACGCAACAGGGCTTAGTGAGCAGGAAGAGGCTGGGACAGAGAGCAGTCCTGATTCAGAGGCTGGAGGGGAGGGGAGTTAGAAGACAGAGATGAGGCCTGCTGCTGGAGTCCAGTGAGTCGTCCTGTTACGACCAGCTTCTTCCCTCCGGTCTCCCAGAACAGGCAGAGAGCTGAAAAGAGCAGAGGAGAGATTGGTTGCATACAGCTGCAGTCTCCGATTGCTTGGAAGAAACCCTGGAGTAGGGACTTAGGCAGTTGTGGGAAGGTGGAGACCTTCAGTTCTTGCACGTATAATAATAATAATAATAATAATAATAATAATTTATTCACACCCTGCCCTTCTGGCTGGGTTTCCCCAGCCACTCTGGGTGGCTTCCAACAAAATATTAAAAATACATTAGAACATCAGAAGATTAAAACTTCCCTGCCTTCAGATGTCTTCTAAAAGTTAGATAGTTGTTTATTTCCTTGACCTCTGAAGTGAGGGTGCAGTGCCAGATTTACGTATAAGCTAAACAAGCTATAGTTTAGGGCCCCCCAAAAAATTAAAGGGAAAAAACTCGATGTACATTTCCAAAATATAAGATAAGAAACTAATACAATAAAACCTACATACAGCAATACAGTGGTGCCCCGCAAGACGAACGCCTCGCAAGAGAAAAACTCGCAAGACGAAAGGTTTTTTCGTTTTCGAGTTGCTTCGCAAGACGAATTTCCCTATGGGCTTGCTTCGCAAGACGAAAACGTCTTGCAAGTTTGTTTCCTTTTTCGTAAAACCGTTAAAACCCAGGGTGCATTGCTGGAAGAGGTGCAGTTGCGACTTGACTTCGAGGAGCAACACATTGCACGCGGTGTGGTGGCCTTTTTGAGCTTTTTAAAGAGTTTGCTGAATTTTTGAAGCTTTTCCAAAACTTCCTTTGCAGCTGTTTGGTAAGTTAAACTTTTAAAACTTTTTTGGGTTTTTTGGATTTTGGGTTGGGGTGTTTAGAATTCAAGGACTTGGTGTTGGGGAGAGGTTTGCAAGAATCTGGGAGCTTGTGTGGTTTTTTTCTGCATTTTTATGATTTTCTGTGACCATTGGGCCATGTTTATTTTTTTTTGAAAAAAAAAATCTGGGTTTGAATTTCTGTGTGCTGGGTGGATGGGGGAACAGTTGAGGAGGGGTTTGCAAGAATCTGGGAGCTTGTGTGGTTTTTTCTGCATTTTTATGGTTTTCTGTGACCATTGGGCCATGTTGTTGTTTTTTGAAAAATTTTCTGGGTTTTGAATTTCTGTGTGCTGGGTGGATGGGGGAACAGCTGGGGAGGGGTTTGCAAGAATCTGGGAGCTTGTGTGGTTTTTTTGAATTTTTATGGTTTTCTGTGACCATTGGGCCATGTTGTTGTTTTTTGAAAAAAATTCTGGGTTTTGAATTTCTGTGTGCTGGGTGGCTGGGGGAACAGCTGGGGAGGGGTTTGCAAGAATCTGGGAGCTTGTGTGGTTTTTTTTTGAATTTTTATGGTTTTCTGTGACCATTGGGCCATGTTGTTGTTTTTTGAAAAAATTTCTGGGTTTGAATTTCTGTGTGCTGGGTGGATGGGGGAACAGTTGAGGAGGGGTTTGCAACAGTTGGGGAGGGGTTTGCAACAGTTGGGGAGGGGGGGGGGGTACAGTGAGGTTTTTTAATACTTTGGTTATTTTTAAAGCTTTCCCAAAACTTCTTTTGCAGCCATTTGAGGATTTTGAAGACTTTGGTGATTTGCAGCCATTTCGTAAGTTAAACTTTTAAAACTTTTTGGGGGTTTTGGATTTTGGGTTGGGTGTTTCGAATTCAAGGACTTGGTTCTGGGTTTGAATTGCTGATTTTTTTTTCTTCTGAGTTTACGAAGGTAAGAGCTGTGCTGCCATGGGACCCAAGAAGACTGCTGCTGCTGCGGAGGCCGGCGAGAGGAAGAAGGAGAAGGTGACGCTGGAAATGAAGAAGGAGATCATCTGGAAGCACGACGGTGGAATGCGTGTGACGGACCTCGCCAGGGAGTACGGCAGGAACCCATCGACCATCGGGACCATCCTGAAGATGAGGGAGAAGATCCTTGCGACTGATGCAGCCAAGGGAGTCACCAGGATCGTGAAGAACCGCCCAGCTGTTCTGGAGGAGGTCGAGAAGTTGCTGCTCATCTGGTTAGAAGAGAAGCAGCGTGCAGGGGACACAGTGACTGAGGCCGTCATTTGTGAGAAGGCCAAGGCCTTGCACGCAGACCTCATCCGGGAACAGCCAGGAACCTCAGGCGAGCCAGAAGTCTTCAAGGCAAGCAGAGGCTGGTTTGACCGGTTCAAGGCAAGATCTGGAATCCACAGCGTGGTCAGGCATGGAGAGGCTGCCAGTTCTGATGTTCCTGCGGCTGAAGACTTTGCCTTGGAGTTCCTGGAGGCTGTGAAGACAGAGGGCTACGTTCCACAGCAGGTCTTCAACTGCGACGAGACCGGGCTGTTTTGGAAGAGGATGCCCAAAAGGACTTTCCTCACACAGGAGGAGGCCAAGTTGCCTGGCCACAAGCCCATGAAGGACCGTCTGACCCTGCTCTTCTGTGCCAACGCAAGCGGCGATCTGAAGATCAAGCCCCTGCTGGTGTACCACTCGGAGAACCCACGGGCCTTCAAGAAACACAAGGTCGACAAGGAGCGGCTGAGTGTCATGTGGCGATCCAACAGCAAGGCTTGGGTCACACGTGTGCTGTTTGTGGACTGGGTCAATCTTGCTTTTGGCCCTGCTGTCAAACAGTACCTGCTGGACAACGACCTGCCGCTGAAGGCTTTGCTTCTGATGGACAATGCTCCTGCTCATCCTAAAGGCCTTGAGGTGGACTTGTTGGAGGAGTTCAGCTTCATCAACATCATGTTCCTGCCGCCTAACACCACGCCACTGCTCCAGCCGATGGATCAGCAGGTCATCGCCAATTTCAAAAACTCTACACCAAGGAGCTTTTCAGGCGATGCTTCGAGGTGACTGATTGCACCACCATCACCCTGCGGGAATTCTGGAAGGACCACTTCGACATCGTCACCTGCTTGAAGATGATCACCACGGCCTGGAACGGGATCAGCCAGAGAAATTTGAATTGCGCTTGGCGCAGCCTGTGGCCGGACTGTGTGGCACCAAGTGACTCTGATGCACCAGAGTCAACAGTGGTGCAGGACATTGTTGCCTTGGGGAGGACCATGGGCCTGGAGGTCACAGAGGAGGACGTCTGCGAGCTGGTGGAGGAGCACGACCACGAGCTGACCACCCAGGAGCTGGTTGAACTGCAGTCAGAGGTTGCGCAGGAGCAGGCCTCGCTGGAAGAGGAGGAAGCAACTGAGGAACGGCCGTCCTCCAAAGAACTGAGGGACATTTGCCAGAAGTGGAAGGAGGTGCAGGCTTTTGCAGAGCGGCACCACCCTAACAAGCACGTGGCACATGACCAAGCGAACACTTTTGATACGACGGTCATGTTGCCTCTCAGGGAGCTGCTGAAAAGGCGGATGAAGCAGCAGACCATGGACAGGTTCCTCAGCAAGAAGCAAAGAGTGGAAGAGGAACCTTCTTCGAGTGGTCCCCAGAGTCTTAGAAAATGTATGTACAGTACACTTTGTTGATTTTTAAATGTTTTTCTGTCATGTTTAGAAACTTAATTTATTGTTCCTTCAATTTTTGATATGCTCTTTAAAGTATGTGTGACTTTAAAGAGCAGTTAATAAACTATTGTTGTACCAAATTTGGCTTTGATTGGACTTTTTTTGACCATAGGAACGCATTAATTGAATTTCAATGCATTCCTATGGGAAACCGTGCTTCGCAAGACGAAAAATTCGCTAGACGAAAAAACTCGCGGAACGAATTAATTTCGTCTTGCGAGGCACCACTGTAGTGTTTTGTGGGCTCCTATGATATAAGTAATGGGCCCCGCCTGCTAGCCTGCTCCCTAAAGTATCATTGGTTTGCTCATTTCTATATATAGGGTGCCTACATTCTGCATGGACTGGTTGCATGGCAATATGTGCAAATGGCTTTAGATACCTATTATATCCATAAATTACCATATAGCATATATTCAACACAAAAAACAGGGAAAATTTGTTGCTGACAAAGGACAGCTGGACATATAAAGGGCCCCATTACTGTCAGTAGCTTACGGCAGGGGTCAGCAAACTTTTTCAGCAGGGGGCTGGTCCTCTGTCCCTCAGACCTTGTGGGGGGCCAGACTATATTTTGGAAAAAAATTATGAACGAATTCCTATGCCTCACAAATAACCCAGAGGTGCATTTTAAATAAAAGCACACATTCTACTCATGTAAAAACACACAGATTCCCGGAACGTCCACGGGCTGGATTGAGAAGGCGATTGGGCCAGATCCGGCCCCCGGGCCTTAGTTTGTCTACCCATGGCTTAGGGGCTCATCAAACCTAAATCCTTCCCTGCTCCTGACAGTCTGTTTCTTGGGTGTGGAAGTGCTGCTAGGGGACTGTGATATAGCATCTGTGGATTCTGTGCTGTAGTGGTCCCAGGTTGGGATCACTGCTTGGGAACAGGTGACTTTGACAGGTGACTTTCCAAATTCTACCACCTCTCTATTAGCATCTCATTCTGCAAAATAATATGTAGAGTGTGCAAGGGCTCCTGGAATTTGCCACTTTCTAAATTCTTGATCCATGACGATAGGCAGTCGAGAGATGCAAGAGGGTTTTTCTTAAAATATAAAAAGGGCTATTGTAATACCTGACATCCTTCAATGCCACCTCCCCTCCCCTCTGAGCAAACAAAACATCTCTTGGAGGAGCACTTGACAGAAGAAAACAACTGTCTTCCCAGGGAGAGTGCCTTCCTTGACAGCTCTTTAAGCTGCTTGATGGCTTTAGCAGCTGTTACTTATTAGGAAAAATCAGGTGTTTGGAACTGCTGTGTAATCTCAAGAGGCTTTCTTAAGGAGAAAGATAAACACAAAACACATTCACACTTAGATTTGATTGCCAAGAGTTTGCAGGAAACTTGTTCCTTCTTAGCTTGGCCTAACTCACAGGGTTGTTGTAAGGATTAAATGAGATGGGGAAATAATAATAATAATAATAATAATAATAATAATAATAATATAGTGCCCTTCATCAAAAGATCTCAGGGCAGTTCACAAGATAAAAACATGAGATAAAAGGACAGATAGATAGTTAAAAGAGAAACAATGGAACAATCTCACACACACACACTCCCCACAAATGCATATAAAACGCTGTAGAATATTAATCAGCCAAAGGCCTGGTTGAAGAGGAATGTTTTCGTCTTGCGCCTAAAGATATACAGTCATACCTCGGGTTACAGACGCTTCAGGTTGCATTTTTTCGGGTTACGGACCCGCCAAAACCTGGAAGCACTGGAATGGGTTACTTGCGGGTTTTGGGCATCGCGCATGTGCAGAAGCGCTAAATCACGCTTTGTGCATGCGGAGAAGCACCGAATCACAACACGCTTGTGCGCAGACGTACCGCTGTGGGTTGTGAATGCTGCGGGTTGCGAACATGCATCCCACACGGATCATGCTCGCAACCCAAAAGTCCACTGTATTAGGAAGGAGCCAGACAAACCTCCCTGGGGAGAACATTCCACTAATGGGGAGCCACTGGAGAAAAGGCCCATTCTCATGTTGCCACCCTCCGGACTTCTCCTGCTGAAAGCACATGAAGAAGAGCCACAGTCCAGGTCGGTATCTGAGCCTTTTAAGGTTTTCTGGGTCTAGACCAGCCCTTTGAATTGGGCCCGTGTACACATTGTACATTTGAAGCCCATTTTCCCATGCTCCAAAGACTCATGGGAACTGTAGTTTAAATTGTAGCTCTGTTGGGGGTAAACTACAGTTCCCAGAATTCTTTGGAGCACGAGGAAATGGGCTTCAAATGTGCAGTGTGCACAGTCTAGATCAGTGACGGCCTTCAACTGGGATGGCTTTTAAAGAGAATTAGATAGATTTATGGAGGTCAGGGCTATGCGCAGTCCCTTAGTCACAGCATTATACCTGCTCTTTAGTTCTGCATCATAATGAAAATATTGTTTTCCCCATGGCACCATCAATATACATTTTCTCAGGCCTATCTCTGCTGTCTCTTTTGTGTAAGCATTTGCTTTGGGACTCCACCTTTGAGAAACTTCCCATCATCTCTATAGAGAAATGAATGCAACAGCTACTTCCAGAAACTCAAAGGTTTGCTTTATGAAGGTGATTGGGCTCAATTTGTTCTTTCAGGTAAGAGCCTCACAAGGCCAATTTTTAAATGGCACAGACAACTTTCCAGCCACAAGAATGCAAGTATAAGCAGATGAGGTTTGTGATGTTCCCATCTTCTAAAGCTTTTAAATAGCAGGTTGGATTAACATCTGTCAGGGTTAGTTTGAAACATATATTTAATTCTGCTTCAGTGAAGACAAATGAACTATTATTACTTCTTTATACAGGACTTATGACTGCAGAGCATGCTACCAAATTCATCTAATTTGTCTCTGCAACAATATGTGGGGGCAGATAATTAGTATTCCCATTTTACTTAAGGGAAACTGAGACTGAAAGAGTGACATCCTTACCCAAGAGTTCATGAATTCACAGCTCCCCAAGACAGAGTAACACACCCATCCTTCCCTCCCTCCCTTGAATTGCCTTATAACCCGCATCAATAACTCAGGGAGGAGGATGATCTGCTAATTATTCTACCTTCTTTCTCCCTTCTCCTGGCCATCAAAACCCACTTTCAATCTTACACAACTTCTGGAAGATGCTCAGGCACCTCTCCAGATCTGGCACCTCTCCAGGGGAAGAGTATTTTGAAGTCTAGGAGCAGCAACTGAGACAATCTCTCCAGGCATTCTTGTCATCCAGACCTGTTGCAGGCATGTATATTTAACAGAGTGTACCTGGTCAATTTTACTAGGTGTGGTGGAACACTGTGGAGGCTCAAGCAATGGAGTTAATGAAACCAGTAGCAGTACTTCAGACTGAGACCCAGGGACCATGGAGAGTCTATGAAGTAAGCAGAGCACTGATGTGCTGAGTTCCTGGTGACCCGGCCCCATCCAAAGATGGGCTTCAGCATTTAGCGTCTGCCACCCAGGGTAGTCCAACATAATAGACTTTATAGTAGTTTAGCTTCCAAGTGATGGAAGCATAACTAACAGCAGAGAGGTCTGCACTGACCAATTCAATGGCGTTGTAGAGATAGCCAGCGATGGCCAATGGTGGGCAGGGATTTAACAGAATATAATCCACATTAAAGGTAAAGGTACCACTGAACATTAGGTCCAGTCGCGGATGATTCTGGGGTTTTGGCACTCATCTCGCTTTATTGGCCGAGGGAGCCGGCGTACAGCTTCCGGGTCATGTGGCCAGCATGACTAAGCCGCTTCTGACGAACCAGAGCAGTACACGGAAACACCATTTACCTTCCCGCCGGAGCGGTACCTATTTATCTACTTGCACTTTGACATGCTTTCAAACTGCTAGGTGGGCAGGAGCAGGCACCGAACAATGGGAGCTCACCCTGTCACGGGGATTCGAACCGTCAACCTTCCAATCGGCAAGCCCTAGGCTCTGTAGTTTAACCCACAGGGCCACCCGCGTCCCATAATCCACATTATGTTGTTACAAAAGTCAGGTGCCTCCTCCTCTCTCCGCCCAGCAGTGGCAAGAGTCCATAGGGTTCCAGGTGTTCATCCAGGGTCTGTGGTCCTTTGGAAAATTGAAACAGTGAAGAGACTGTTGTAGCTTTAAGAAGTATGGTTTATCCACCTATTTACACATTCAGTATGCATGGATCCTACAGCACGGTCATTTCAAGAGGGGCTTCTTCCCCACAGCAGTGCAGCCAGCCTGCAGCCAGCCTGCCCAAGATGGATTCCAGCCTTTTCTCTTCCTGCTTCTTCCTGCCACAACACTTTCCTAAAAAACCTCTCTTCTCCTGTCACCTCACACCCAGTTACCCTGGCAACCTTCCAAGGGGGAACAACAGTTCTCTTGCATTGCCAGTGGCTCTCAATGGCCCTATATTGTTTCTTAATAACCCTAACTTGGCCAGGTCGTTTTGCAAAGGCTAGCTCAGGAATTCCTCTGCAACTTATGTTTCTCCCTTGACATCCCAAATAATCAAAATCCTATCATTTATTAATTTCTAGGGTTTTGGGGGTCCCCATCAGCCTTGCCAGAATTTATTTTACAGGGTGTATGTGTGCAGGCAATGCAACTGGTCGGTTATTTTTATTTACTTACCTGATTTAGGGGGCAGCTGCCCCACAGCAACCCCTGGCTATGCTTATGGGGTCCCCCCCAAAAAATCTGTAACAATAGCTAAAAGGGTAGGTAAGGTGATCTCTCAGGTAAATTGGTCCCAAGTTGTTAGGGGCTTTATAGTAGTAACACCTTGAACGTGATGGGAAATTGGCAACCAGTGCGGGTCTCTGAGCACAGGGGTTATATGCAGACAGAATCTTGCCTACGGTTGCCTCCTTTCCTCCTACACTTACCTTGTGAGGCTTCTGGGAGCGTTCCTGCTCTGAATGAGTGGATGGATGTGCCTTTCTCTGCCTAAACTGGAGACTGCCTGACCTCCTCAATGTCACCAGCCTTGCGTCCTTGCGGGCTCATCCACCACAATCAGAAAACCAGCTTCTTCCTAAAACCAAAGACCAGGTATGGAGGGAGAATTCGTTGACGATCAAAGGCCCCATCCCTAGAAGATTCCAGGCTAGCTTCCGCTTGGCAAGAGAAAGGTGTTCTGCAATCGCTCACAT